TTAGGATTTGGGTATTATATTTATTTTTATTTTTATGATTAAAAAATTAAAAATTAAAAATTAATTTTTAAATAATCTAATAAAATATAAATAAAAAGATATTCGAATCATTTCAAGTGACTCGATGCACTCTTAACTCAATTTATTTAGATTCAAATAATTTCAATTTAAATTATTTTAAATTTTAAATTAACACATAAAATGTATCACTCAACTTATAATAAATGAATTGAATCAAATTTATGGGTTGAATCTAATTTTATAGTTCTAATCCAGCAAGATCGAGGCAATTGGTGTTGAGAATTTTTTTTATTTTTTTACTATAAAAAAATAAAATTAATAAATTAATATCTATTTAAATATTAATTAAAAAATTAATATAATAATTATATATTGTAATTCACTTTACTTCCCACGTAAGGAAACGTCACCACTTATACCACGTAGGAGTCCGATGTTGAGATTTCTTGTTCTGAAATTGTGTCGACATTTCTTTTTCTTTCTATAAAGTGAAAATGTTTCATAATTTATGATATTTATAGTGATATTTTTTTATTTTAGTAGTTTCGTTTATATTTATATAATAATTGCAGTTGAATTTTTAGTTATAAGCAATATTTTTGTTTAATTATTTATATTTATTATAAATATAATTTAAATTTTTTATTAATATTATAGTTTATGTTTTCGATTTTAATTAGATTATAATACTTTGAGATAAAATTTTAATTATGATTTCTTTTATTTTAATATAATTTTATTTTTTATAAAAAAATAATGTAAATTTTTTTAATTACCACTAAATTTCAAAATAAAATAAAAGAATTTTTTAAGAACACAATGTTAAGAGTATTAAAAAATATAAAATGTGATATCAATTTTAATATTAAATAAATTTAATTAAATAATTAATAAACTAAAATTTAATTTTTATTTTTAATATATATTTATAAAAAAATAAAAAATATACAGTTAATGTAATTTTCATTTCTAAAATACAAATTAAACAAATCTTAAAATAAAATTTACCTTTCATCAAAATTTTTGTACCAGATATCCCTTAAAAAAATAATAACATATTAAAAAAATAAAAACTACACCGACCAACACGCAAAGCATCTCGTCTTGCACAACGGTCATGGACCACATCCCTTAAAAAATCATAACATATTAAGAAAATAAAAACCACACCCGCCAACACGCAAAGCATTTCGTCTTGCACAAGGGTCATGGATCGAAGAGGTCTACCCAATTGGTCGTCTCTGCAGCTATACATTTATGATGACTTGACCGTCTGGCCGGTTAAAGCTTACATTAATCAAGGACAATATCCGGCGAGATCGACGCAATTGATGTTGAGATTTCTTGTTGTGCAATTGACGTCGACACTTCTTCTTCTTTGTATAAGTTAACTGAATATTGAATAAGTGAAAATGTTTAATAATTTATGATATTTATAGTGATATTTTTCTATTTTAATAGTTTCGTTTATATTTATATAATAATTGCAGTTGAATTTTTAGTCATAAATAATATTTTTGTTTAATTATTTATATTTATTATAAGTATAATTTGAATTTGTTATTAAAGTTATAGATTATGTTTTTGTTTTTAGTT